AGCATATATAGCCGATTCGGGACTGTTATGATATCAAAGGCGTACGATCATGTCCTAGTGAGGTGCTGCGAAAACTCTTAGAAAAGACAATTCTCCTTATTTCTTCTCTCCCCCCTCTCTCCTCTCTTCTCTCTCTCTCTTCTCTCTCTCTCTCTCTCTCTCTCTCTCTCTCTCTCGGTGTCTGTATGCCTAATATCTCTTTATCGCTCTTTTTTTTTCTCGTTCTAGCCCTCCATCGCTCTCTGTCTCTTTCTCCCTCTCTCTCCCTCTGTCTCAACTCTTTTTTTCCTGTCTTCGGCTTTCTAAGCCTTTCTGATCGTCTCTGTCTGCCTTCTCCCTTTCTCTCCCTCCTCTCTCTCTTTCACTCTCTGTCTCTCTACCTCGCTCTCTGTTCCTTCTCTGCGTCTCTCTCACATTTTTGCACGCTCTTCTCCTCTCTTCCTTTCTTTATCGCGCGCGCTCATCTGTTATCTATCTCTCCTCCCTCTCTCTCAATTCTCTCCAGTAGATCTTTTTAACTTTACACTATTTTAGTGTTTTTTTTTCTGACCGGGCACCGCGTCCGCTTCGAACCGTACACTATCTGTAGCAACGCGAAACTTGAAATATTTTCAGCAACGATGAAGGCAGGGCAGGTGGTCGTCGTTCGTTTGTCTTTCATGCTAAGTGTTGAATGTTACACGCAGGTCTTCTTCAGCGAACGGTAGATGGCTCCAGGGGATTTCTACAGGAAAGCTGGACTCGTACAAGATTCGGTTCTTCGCGGACAACATTTAAACGGGCGAAACACTTGGCTAGCGTGCGTCCGCGTGGCGTCGCGTGCGAGCGTTCAAGAGGTGCGGTGTGTCCGCGTGCGTTGCGGTGCGTGCTGGCGGGCGTAAGAGCGTGCATTTTGCGTGCTGCGTGGCGGCTGCGCTGCGAGGGGCGGGCATTGCGGCCGTGCGTGCGTGGCATTGTACGTGCGTTGCTTGATGCCGTGCGTGCGTGCTTTCGCTTGCGTGCGAAGCGTGCGTGCGGTGCGTGCCTGCGAAGCCGTGCTGCCTGCGTGCGTTCGGCGCGTGCTGCGTGCGTGCGTGCGTTGCCGTTTGCATGCGTGCGTGGCGATCGTGCATGGTGCGTTGGCAGTGCGTGCGTGCGTTGCTGTCTCAAAACCCACTCGTGCATGTGATCGTGAGAAACGTTTCGCTAGTCATTACAAACCACGTTTGATTTAGCTGTGAGCCGACGTGTGACAAGCGGAAATTCGATTATAGGCACCTCGAGTTTATTTCGCTTACACTACAAAAACATAAACGGTTTTGAACCACGCACGCACGCACGCATGCACGCACGCATGCACGCACGCACGCACGCACGCACGCACGCACGCACGCACGCACGCATGCGCGCTCTTACGCCCGCCCGCACGCACGCACGCACGCACGCACGCACGCACGCACGCACGCTCGCACGCACGGATGCACGCACGCAAGCCCGCACGCACGCTTGCACGCACGCTTGCACGCACGCACGCACACAAGCACGCACGCACGCACGCATGCACGCTCTTACGCCCACACGCACGCACGCACGCACGCACGCACGCACGCTCTTACGCTCGCACGCAAGCCCGCCCGCCCGCATGCATGCACGCACGCACCTAGCCAATGTTCTCCGTTTATGTTTCCGAATCCGAACTTGTACAAGTCCCAGTTTCTGTAGAAACACTCTGAGCCATCTAGCCTTCGCTGAAAGACCTGCGTGTAACTTGCACACTTAGCATGAAAACAACAAACGAACGACACCTGCCTGCTTTCATCTTGCTGAAAATATTCAGTTTCGCTTGCTAACAATAGTGTACGGTTCGAAGCGGACGCGGGTGCCGTGAGAAAAAAGAAGAAGAAGAGTGTAAGTTAAAATGTCTACTGGAGAGAATGAGAGAGAGGGAGAGCGTGCGCGATAGATAAAGAGAGCGCGCGCGAGAGAGAGAGAGAGAGCGTGCAAGAGAGTGTGAGAGAGACGCAGAGAGGCACAGAGAGCAAAGAGGGAGAGACAGAGAGTGAGAGAGTGAGAGAGAGAGGGAGAAGGAGACAGAGAGCGAGAGAGGGCTAGAACGAGAAAGAAAGAGAGCGATAAAGAGATAGGCATACAGACACCGATAGAGAGAGAGAGGTGGAGAGAGAATAGGAGATGTGTTTCTAGAGTCCTCGTACACCGCACTGAGGACTGATCGTACGCTTATATCATAACAGTCATCTGGCTATATATGCTGAGATTGTATACTCCTGCGCGCTAGTACATCCACTATAAGATTTATGCTAGTACATCCACTATAAAACGCACGTACGCACGCACGCGCGTACTACTCTGTCATATTCCGACACTGAGCCCCGGGTTCGTAGCCAGCCAAGCATCCGCGATCAGTGGAGGGCGTATTTCACGGGTCTCACTTTCATCTCGCTGCTCATGAGTGCCTCGGAGTGACCGGGCCAAGTGTACCACACGACTCCCTTCGTGTTGTCCTCTCCGTAGAGTCCGTTCAGGTTCGAATTGTGGCAGCCGCTGTACCACCAACCGCCCTTGCAAGATTTAGCGCAGCTGCCGGTCTTGTGGGTGTCGTTGTCCCGGTCCGGAGTGCTGAAATTCTTCCCGTGATGAGCTGATATCATCGAGTCGCCTGAAAATGATGAGAAGCGTGTGAGGCGGGGGAGGTAATGTGGGTGACGGTGAGCGCATGATTGCGAATTGAGAGAGAAACCGAGAGGGAGCGGGAGAGATAGATAGATAGAGTGTGCGAGAGAGAGAGAGAGAGAGAGAGAGAGAGAGAGAGAGAGCACGAGAGGAGAGTGCTATGCATACAACAATATTATGCGTATAACAATGTATACATTGTTCTGCATGCAACAATATATATTAAAACGTATAACAATGTTTATATTGTTCTGCATGGAACAATATATACATATACATATAATAATGTATATATTGTTATGCATGCAACTATAAGCATGTACCTATACATATAACAATGTATATATTGTTATAACAATGTATATAGTGTTCTCACAGACGCAAACGAGCGTTTACCCGCAGTGCCGTGGTACATGCCGACGTTGAGCTTGTACAGCGCCCTCTCTGAAGCGATGCTGAAAACATCGTACGTGGCGTAGCGCGTCTCGCCCGAGAATCTTCTCAGATCGATTCGTAGCTGCATCGGTACGGAGGTGGTGAGAGCGTTCAGTCGGTCGTTGCCTGCATGAGAGTGAGAGAAAGAGAGAGACGTGGTTATCTGCATGAGAGTGAGAGAGAGACGTCGTTACGACGCATGCGCAATCGCCACACTTCTTCGACGAAATTGCGCCAGCGACGAAATTTAATTCGGCGTATTTTAACTTTATATACCCAGGTGAATGTCGGCAGAATTCGATTTAACGCCGGGTTCAAAACCGTGGATTTGTAGTGTAGCGACAACTCTGTGGTTGCTATATCGAATTTTCGCTTGCCACACGTCGCTCACGCTAAAATCAAACGTGATTGTATGACTAGCGAAACGTTTCTCACGATCACGTGCACAGGTTTAGGTTGAGACAGCACGCGCGCACGCACGCACGCACGCACGCACGCACGCACGCACGCACGCACGCCCGCCCGCATGCATGCACGCACGCACGCACGCACGCACGCACGCACGTACGCACGCACGCACGCACACACGCACGCACACACGCACGCTCGCTTGCACGCACGCACGCACGCACGCACGCACGCACGCACGTCATGCACGCACTCACACACGCACG